TTTAGAAACAAAAAATACAGTGTTTCTTTTAAATATTTGTAATGACTTCTGAGGAAATGTAAATGTATTTTTTTATATATTTATTTATGTAATAAATAACCCAGCCATATGTTGATTTAAAGCAATAAAAATTTCTCCATGTCTGTTATTTTGAACCGCATTGGAAGACAGAGAAACTTCGAAGTCAAAAACTTATGCAAAGGACTTGGTGAATGAAAATTACACACATTTGTGTTATATGAAGAAAAAAACTTTTCATGTCAGGGAAACATGATTCATTAGACTTGTTTATATCTAGTCTGAGTTGCCTGGAAAATTTAAAGTAAAATAGGTTATATATCAAATCACTAAGAAAGGAGAGAGCCAAAAAGTTTTGTTCAAAAGTAATAATATAATAAAACTGTATTACAAAATATGTATTAATATGCAAAACATTTATTGCATATTCATAATTGGCAAATGACATTTTGGATACCTTTTTTTCCTTCTAAAATTTTATTAAACCGTTCAAATGAATGTATGTCATGTGGATCGATTTTCAGATTTACATTTAAAAATATATTTTCAAAAAAATGAAACTTCTTTTAATCAACTTGGTGAAATAAAACTTGCTGTTTTTTTATTATTATTATTTTAAATTCATTCATTCAAAGAAGAGATATAAAACTTCAGAAATCAATTTGTAAATAACTTAATTTCCAAAAATGTTCAATGCTGCACTCACATGACTTTTGAATCATGCAAATGCTATAGGAATTTTAAGTAATGCTAAAGATTTTCTTAGCAAAATAATATTTATATCTGAACATCACATTAAATTTCCTCATATTTTATTATCAAAATCATAAAGAGAATATTACTGCTGGTAAATAATAGGTAGGCACCTGGTGGCTGAAAAGCTAATGCTCCACGTTTTAATGCGTCAGATCCGGAGTTCTGTCCTCGAACTTTGGCAAGGTTAACTCAGCCTTCCATCCCTTCAGTGGATTGATAAAATAAAAACTAAGCATACTTAAAGATTAAACATCTGGGGCTCCTATTTTGGCTGACCACCCAACCAGAACATCTGCTCCAGAGCCCAAGGTCATAAAAATTGGGCAGGCACTGTAGGCTTCACACCACTGAGCTAGTTTTAAATAATAGCTAACATGTAAAAATGATTATGCTGTGTGACAAATTTACAAATTTGAATCTTTTTTTTATTAAAAAAACGTGACTTGCTTGTCCAATAAAAATACTGCATAATATTAATACCTTAATGAATTTTTGTAATATAGTTAGATATATAAACCCACACTTACATTTGCACTGATATAAAAGATTGTGTTATAGCTATTAGAAACTATCTTTGCTGAAAAAAAGTAGATTGAAATAAGCCTTTTTTGATGAAGTGATTAAAATAAATTTGTATATGTAGTACTTAAACTGTATTGATTAGTTTTGTATTGGCATACTGGCAGACAAACTCAGGTCAATTTAAATTAATGCTAATTATACGTAAAAATTTGGTTGCTTTTAAATAACTATTTCATTGTAAGTAAATTTAGTTTTTATTAAGCATCATTATGACGTTTATTTTGGTTTTTACTTTTTTGAGAGGAGAGAAGATTTAAACAACTTAAGCATTGAAAAGTAACATCTATTTCCAACTTCCAGTCTGGCCTTTATCTCTGGGTTTAATTTATATTTTAAAATTCTATTACCCTTTCAAAAGTAGGTTCAGTATTTACTGAACTTGCAGTTGATCATTTCCCTCTGTACAATATATCTAGTTTTTTCCCTCTTAACTGAAAGTCTTTGCCATCCTTTTTAAAATGTTTACTCAAGAAATCTCAATTCTTTGTTGATAATGTTTATATTTTTATCAATTTTGTTATTTCATACCTTTCTTCAGAAAATCAAAATTATTGGGTTTTCATTCACATTAGCCAACCATTTATGCATCCATTCGCCATGGCTATTTCCTTTATTTTACTTATTGTTTTATACTTAGAAAGGAATCTCTGTCAAAATACTCCTGATATCCAAGTGCTCCCCAATTTTATATATGTATATATATTTAAATGTCAAGTTAAAGGATCTAGTTGGGCAGAATTCCAGTAGCTTTAAAAATAATGGCTGGTTATTACTTATGTTATATATTTGACTTTTATTCAGTTTGATAAAAAAAGAAATTACAGTGTAATTAATTTATAAATCTATTGTAAAAAAATTTTATACAAGCGAGAAAAACTTTGATCACTTGCATTGGTTACTTTTGACTTTGATAGTTTTCAACTAACTCCACTTGCAAATTTTATTTATCATCAACATCAGTGCTCCTCAACCTTTTAATCTCTGCAGACTGATAAACGTTTGATAATTTCACTGATCAACATGAATGATACATTTACAGAGTTTAAAAGGAGTTCAAATTTTAATTCCATGTCACTTTTTATTTTGGGAATACTGAAAGAAACTATTTTATTTATGCTTTTTAATTGATGCAAGGGAAAAAGAATCTAAGTACTGAAAGTTCATCAAATTCTTATATATCAAATTCTTAGTACAAAGTATTTCAATGTGAAGTTTGTCATCTAGTTTTGAAAATTGTTTGTGTGCCTAAATTTTGAAAATCTAATGGTTAAGAGCTGAAATCTATTATACTGTGAGCTTTCATTTTTTTCTTTCTTTTTGATGATCACCTTACCTAGAGTTGATATTCTTTAGTTTTAGTATAGTTTAGTGGAGTTTTGCTCTTACATTCTTATTCAATCCTTTTAAGACATTTTCAATTTTGTGTCAGTTCGGCAGCAATGTATAAAATTGTTTAAAAGCAATATTTCTTAAAACTTCCTAACAGAATTGTTTGTGGTTTTTCAACTTAATTGGGGAGAATGTATTAAATTACAAGAATAAATTAATTTTAAAGGTTTATTTTATGTTGTAAAATATGCTTAATTTATGTGTTTTACAATTCTCTCTTTATAAATTAAAATGCATCATATCGTAGAGGACACTTCAAAGGTAGATTAATATTTTTCTAATTGTATAAATAATATTCTGCGAAAACTTTTTGTCCTTTATTACAAATAAAATTTTCTTGTGACTCAAAAACAACACCCATATTTTTGCCTATCTAACTCCCATGCTTCCTTTGTAAAATTCCTATTTTTTTTATATTGATTGTTTGTTTTTTTATAAATTGGAAAAAAATTTTAGACACTATTTTGTTATAAATTTTGTCAATGCTCACTGCATAAAAACAATACTATATTTATACTCTTTCTTATGCTAGATTTTCTTGTTCATTCAGAATATCACTTGAAAATTTCAGATTTGATAAGTGTGCATGTTTTTATTTATTTACGAATATGTCCGATAAATATTTATTATTCTTAAATTTTTGTGATGTTCAAAAGTTAAAATTATGAAGAAAACACTTGTTCTACTATCTTTTATTGCAATAAACATAAAAGGGTGAAACAGCGAGCATAAAATCGCTATTTTGTATTTAAAGTTGTTAGCTCATTATGAAAATTGATGATTGCATCATTATGAACAGTGCTTTTATACTGTTTTAATTTTATTTTTTAAGAAAAAGGAACTTTAGTCACAAATTGACAATATTTGAAAGAAAGCTGTAAAACTATAGCCTTTTTAACTATATTGGTAAAGTATTCATTTGAAAAAATATTTATTTACTTAAAAGCAACCATCTGGAATTTTAAACTTGTTAAGTTATTTAGCATAATATTATATTAGTACATTATGTAAAACAGCAAGTTAAATATCATTATTTTGCTTTTTATAACAGTAGATATTAATGTTTTTCTTGTACATCACATTTAGAACTATAATATTTTAGGGTTTAATTTATTTATATTGTTTTCTAATTAGAATTTAAAATGTGGATGTAAGAAATAAATAAATCATGTTCCAATGATATATTTATAAAATAATATAAATAATAATAATAAATAATTATATAAATATATTTATAAAAATAAATATTTCCTTGAAACTTAAATTTTTATTAGGGAAATGCAACAGTCTCTTATTGGTAAATGATAGATATGGCTGATTTTAATTGAAAAATATTTACATTAGGACAAAGAGCTTTTAATATAGAAAATTAGTAAACCTTAAATATGTTGTGTGACTTTCCTATTAAGATAGGGATTGTTTAAAGGTCTTGCTGTGTAGAAACGGTTGTCAATCAAGAAGAAAATCTTCGATCAGCCTTAAACTGGATAAAATTCAAAGTATGAAATAAATATTGCTCCATTTATCAACAAACATGTTTAGTAGAAGAAATGTTACTTTTTTTAATTGTTTTCATATGTGTGTAATAAGATTTAAAATACAGAAAAGCATTTCTTTTCAAATAAAATAAAAGAGCAGAGTATTTTTTAAAATGTATTTTTATCACTACTTAATCCAATATCATAACAAATAGTGTAGCTTTCCTGTCATTTTCCTAACCAAGTGAATGCAAAATTATGAAAAAATTTCTCTTGAATTATTTAGGACATAGAGATTTCTTCCATAGAGAGCATTCCATAGAGACATAGAGAGCATTTCTTCCCTCAATTAAGCAAATTTATGTTTGTTTTAACACAATTCACATTTGCCTCTGCTTCCACTAATAGTATTTCTAAATTTTTCTATTGAATAGTAAAAAAAGGTTTCAGGTATCCTTATTTTCAAACAGTTTCAAAAATAGTTTTAGAATTCTCGGGGTAAAATTTTTATCATGCTTTGTTAAAAAAAAATTTTAATATTGTCTTAGAAATTATTTTTATAAATTGGCAAAAATAATTCCAATTGCAAGCGAAGAAAAGCTGTTCATAATAGAGAGGTTTCCTTGGTCCGCTACTATCAGCATAATTAGTTAATAAATAATTCATGTCAATATATATATCTTATCTGAGAAATATGAGCATTTACGGTAATAATTTTCTTGTACTTTGAAAATAATATGTGTAACGAACTATAAGAAATCATAATTTCTTTTTTAGCAATACTGGCAAGAGGTTAATGGCAAAGTGTCGACTTTTATACCAAGAGAATGAGGAACTTGGTAAAATGATATCATCAGGAAAAACTGCTAAACTTGAAGGAGATCTTGCATTGCAAAAAAGTTTCAGTGAAGAAATGAAAAAGAGTCAGTCAGGTAATCTAAGATGAGTTAGAAATGTTTAACTTATATGCTGAAATACCAAGGAATTAGAGATTGACAATGTTATACAAATTGTGTGACATTATTCATGGGTAGATTATTGCAGTGACTGCATATATAGCTAGTTTGTTGTTACTCCATCGTTTTAATTGCAGGTAGTGGTTGAAACTTTTAATTTAGACATCTTTGATCATGAACCAAAAGTAGGTGTGAAAGCCACAAATAATATTACTCATTTTAAGTTGGGAAAAAATAAATGGCTTTCACACAAGCGGCAAACAAAAACAAAACAAAAATTTTAAATATATATATATATATATATTAACTATTCTATTTGATTATTTACATAGAAACTGCTTCTTTCGCTATCTAATTTAAACAAAAATCTTTCTGTTCTCTTTGTTGCCACTCAATACAAAATAAAAGTGAATAATTACATTTGATAACTCTCTATAGATGGCATACAACATTCTCCTCTCTTGAATTTTATAGCAATTTGGGGACAAAAACTGTACAAAATGTATACATTAAAAAAATATCATAAAATAAAAAAGTGTAACTATAGTATAATTTAAAAGAAATTAAAATGCAAGCTGCTTTTTATCTATTCTACCAATTAAGACAACATCACAAACTCTGATTTGGTCAAGATTTTTGGGAATGTTTTTAAAATACATTTTAATGAATAAAATGAAGCAAAGAAAACTATTTCTAAATATTAATTAGTGACTTAATAAATTGAAGTCCATATAATTCTTTATAGATTAATATAGGATAGAGGGGGGGGAGTTAAATTTGACTCCAAGACAACTGCAACTGTCTTGTGCATGTTAAAACTAAAAAAGCTTTGTGTTTCCTAATTAAATTATAATTTAATTTTTTATCTTTTCTTTTTAGAACTTGATGAATTTCTTTTGGAACTGGATGAAGATGTAGAGGGAATGCAAAGTACTATATATTATTTGCAACAGCAATTACGAGAGGCTAAAGAACAAATCAGCCAACTTCAAAAGGATAAAACTGGGTCCACAGATCTTTCTAATTCTTCTCCTCTCAGCTTAAGCCAGCTAGAAAACACTGAAAATGGTTATAAAACACCAGAGCCTAACTTCATTTCTAATTCAGATACTATGCCAGACTCTTTATCAAATGATATTAATGAACTTTCAATTGAATCTAAGGTAAAAACTGAACCCCATTCACCTTATGAGAAAAATCTATCTGATTCTGAAGAACTTAATGATGGAAAAGCTTCACCAGGTACTAACATTCCTATGCAGACAGTCATTGTTAAAAATGAAAGGACCCTTGAGTCACCTGTTAGTATTTTGGACAAAGATTTTAAATCTGTAATAAAAAATAAAGAAATTATTAACCATGATAAAAATGTTCCTGAAGAAAAAATAAATGAACTAAATTCTGCTATGGATACCTCAGAAACTGCGCTTGTAATTACGAACGATCATAATTCAGAACATAATAAAGGAGAAAATCTTTCTAATAACTCTAAGCTCTCTGAATCGCAAAACAAAGCTACAACAAACTCTAGTAAAAAGGCGCCAGAAACTGGAAAAGGGCGCAAGAGGACTAGACCGCGTACACCTGTAGAATCGGAAATTATCAAAGATGAATCTTCTTTACCAGTGAGGAAAAGGACTCGACGTCGGGAAGCAGAACGCCTTCAAGCTCTAGAAGAAAAGCCATTGACTGTTGAAATAAACACGGATGCTGAATTTCAGGCAGCACATACTTTAGCGTCATGGGCATCAAAACAAGAAAGGACAGAACCTGACACAGCATGTAGTACTCTTGGAAATGGTGAGCTAAAAAAAGAGGATAGTGATATTAAGTGAAGTATGGTTTTATATACTAGCTATGGTTGTGTTAATGTGTGTTGATTTTAGAATAAGACACATTGCCCAGTCAATAGCTTCAAAATCAAATTTATGTTTTCAATTTTTTTCTCCTTTTTTAGTCTCAATTTAATGGATGTGTCCTCTCAAAGTTGCATAATGTCATATTTTTCATTTTTATATTTTTGAAAAATTTCATTATATTTTAAGTACATACATTGTGTAATACTTAACTGTAAAGTTAAATGCAAAATTTAGCTTTCCATTCACTTTGTCGATTTAAGATTTTTTTTTCTTCTCCCCCATAAATGAGTGTATGTCTGTTTTCATTTTGTGAAGACTATAAGAACGTCATTTGTTGAATTAAAATTTTATATGAAACAAATAAAAAAAAATTAGTTCTTTTGCCTAGCTTACTTTTTTATGTTTATTTAATCATAATTTGTTTTATGCATATTTTGTTTAGTTATATGAAGAAAAAAAGAAGGAATAGTTATATGAAAGGCACAGTCCAAGTAATGATTTTATTTTTTATTAAAGAATGTAATTAGCACAAATTAAATTGGAGGAAAGTGAGTCACTATATGAGGAGGTTGCAGTTTTTTAAACTTGTACTTCTCTGTATATTGTTAGAACTCGATAATGCTGTTTATGGCTCTTTATGTGAAATTCACAAAGAAAATAATTGTATTATGGGTGCTATTCAAAGAAAAATTCTAACTTTTTGATGATATTTCCTCCACTTAAATTGATAGATATATTTCCAGTAGGTATGTAGCAATGTTTTCATTGCTGCATAATAGTAGCAATGTTTTCATTGCTTGGATAAATTTCATGGAGAGCTCTACATGGCATTCCTACTTTTGTTTCTTAAAAGAGCTTAGATAAATGAGGATAGATAATAAAAAATATATATTAATAGTAGTACGGTGAAACCTCCAGGAAAGACCACCTCTATATAGCAACCACTTATGTGAGGTACGGAATTTTTCTTTAGATTTTGTGGAGAAGAAAACCTTAAAGAGAGACCATTGAAATCTCTCCCAAGCAACCTGGCAAACATCTACGGAAAAGGTTGAATAAGGAAGCACAAAAAATTTAACAGAACAAATAAGTATATTAAAATGCATTCAAAATATTTGTGACACTCTATCTTGAGCACTCTTTTTGAAAATACAACCTCAGGTTTCAGTCAAAGTGCACTAAAGACGATGCAATCAATTATTTACTTCAGTGTAAAAAGTTTTAGAAAGAAAAGTTATTTTGGAAAAAACAACCATCTCAAACAAACAAACCTCTTATCTTTTAAAACTAATTTTTATGATATTAATTTAAATGCAAACTAAAACAAAAAATATATAATTTTTTTATTTATTTAAAATAGCATAAGCATTCATAATTGGTAAATTTGTTCTTACACATAATTTTATCAGTTGGGATAATTTTTATAGATGCTAAATTTTATTCATTGATCCGCCTTTTCACAACGCCAATGAAACTGCATGGTGCATAGCGTTTTTAAAAGGTGCTTATTTTTGTTTATTTAAAAGCCCTTAAAGGTGCTTTTAAAAAGTGCTTAATTTTCCAAAATGAGATATTTTTCTAGTCAACGTTTTCACAATTCATTCAACAACAGTCTGTTTCGGCATACCATCGGTCCATAACATATGATAGCGCCAATCATGTTACATGCTTGATCAAATACTTGGGAGTCTATAGTCAATGGAGGTAACCTCTAAGAAGACCATTTTACTCTGGAACGGAGAGAGTGGTGGCTTCCAAGAGATTTCACTGTAAATTAAAAATGTTCATTGAACCATATCCGCAGCTATTTCATAGATGTCACATTGGCCTAATTTTTGTGGGGTAGGAAATTACAGCAAAACCTCGCAACAATACAAATCAATATACTGTTGTAAAGGGATATATATTGTTATGTCTAGAGCCTACATACTTTGGGGACACAATAAGATTTTTTTTAAATTTAAATATTATATATATATTAACTATGAATATATCTATATATTATATAAAAATAAATTTTCTGAGTGTTAAATATTAAAAAAAATGGAAATAAATTAAAGAAAATAAGATCGTAAACATACCTGAAAAACATTTTTATTGAAAATAATCTGATATTTTTGTTTGTTTATTCTTTTTTTTTACTGTCAAGTCAACCAACAAAGTATGCATTGATGCCAAAGCACTAAAATGAATTTCGTTTGTGAGTGGTGCTCCAACCACCCTCCATTGAAAAAATTTTCTTTCAGTTGTTAATGTGATGCTTGTGGTCATTTGTGACTCATGATCAGCTTTTAACATGGAAATTAAATCAGATAGGAATGTTACATCTGGGACTTAATACTAAGAATGGAAGCTCTTGGGGTGGTCAGCACTGTGTCTTCTCTTGTCAGAAAAAATGATAAAATAAGATTCTTTTTTTACAGTATGTATTTGAAAACCAATAATAAATGGAGAAATTAAGGTTGTAATTTGGAACAAAAATCGTTTTACATGGGTTTATTGCTCCTGAGAATATCATAATATTGAGCGGAACATGACATTTGTTCATATACAAGTTTGTCGAGACCACAAAATATTATAATAAAGGGAGTTAATTGTTGTATTAGATGTCATAGTAGCAAGAGTTCTCTGTATATTACATAGTCCCAATAACTCTCTAAATTTCCACCATGAGAAAAAGATTTTTTATGTGTGATAAATATTTGCAAAAATATTATTTTTATCTCTTTCTCGTTTTTAACTTTGATGAATTTAAATAGATGTTCATTCATAATAACTTTCTTCATTTGACTAAATTATTGAGCTGGACTTATAATTCCAGACTTTCCATCTAGTTTTACAGCATTCAATGCTTTAGTTTTGTGAGAATTAAGTCATGCAAAATGTCGTGCACGAGGATGGATCCACTCTTATTTTGCCATGGTGTTTCTTTGCTCATAAGAAATGAATCCCGTTCTTATGAACACGACTCTAATGTCCTACCAACCAGGTTATCCCCAAACTATACATATTTTTAACATTGATAATATGTGCTTCCTACATACATCTTTTTCTTGTTCTAATTTCCGACATTTTTTCAACTATTTTAAATGTCAAGTATTTAAATAGAATAGACCTAGAATAAGAATTTAGAGGATTCTTGTCCAATTTTTCTTTGATCAAACCTAAAATTCTCAAACTTGGATTCTCAGTTTCTTTTGTTTTTGATCTTATTTCCCTAGAAATGTGGAAAAAAATAACCAATTTATATTTCAATGAATGCTAGCATCGTAAAATTGTGTATGTTTATAAACATTGTTATTGTTGTGGCATTGCTCCAGGTGTTAAAATAACATTTAAATTTATAGAATAGCAAATAAATAAATAAAATCGATCATCATAATGAGGAGGTCATTGTAAAGAGTAGACAGTATTTCAAAAAAAATATGAAAACTTGAAAATAGGTTGCTGAAGAAGTAATTTCTGTGAGCTCACAATAAATATTTAGAATTGTCACTAAAAAGGACACTGACGGTAAACCGAGGACACTGAGTATTACTTTTTATCTATTTTTTGCATCATTTTTTATCTACCCTGAAATATGCTCAACTTTATAAAAGGGAGTAAAAAGAATCTATATTTCTGATGGCAGAATTTCTTGAGACAGTCTGTTGCATTTATATTCATAAATTCAATTTTGTCTGCAACCCAAGCACAATCAGACAGAGACTATCATTGTAAAATAAAGATTAATATTATTTATAACAATCGCATAAATATAAAATAGAAAAAAAATTATACATCCAAAATTTAAATTTTAGCATAATTTTTATACATTACTTTTAAAAAATGGGATGGATTCTGCAGTCCAAAAGCCCCTATCTAAGTAACCAAAAGTTTTGGATACATATATACTATTAAAATTTTTATCAGAAAATAAATCAACTAGAATTTTTGAAAATAAAATTTTTAAGATTAAATATTGGCAGATGAAGTATATCCCTTGTCTTAAAATATTTTTATTTACAATAATAATATACATTTCAGCATAAATAAAATTGTCATTGGTCCAAACTCAAAATATAATTTGAGATCTTTGTAAAACCAGATTTAAACTCCTTCAAAACATTTTCTTGATTTTCAGCTACATTTTCAAATGGTATAAACAGAAGACCATGAGCAAAAAGTATCAACTGAAAAGAAAGAGTAAACATTCTTTAAATCAACAAACATTAAAATAATAATCACATGTTTAAAACATTTTTTTTAAAAAATGTTTTAATTATGGATTTATATGTTTATGGATTAAAAAAAAATTAATTTAAAAAAAAAGCACATTTAAATATCCACACGTTGTCTAAATAGCTTTTTTGTAAAATTTTTGCTTTAATGGTTTCAGGAAATTAACTCGAATAGAGATTAAAATAAGTAGAATAGCATTTTCAGTAAACAGGCATTTACTATATCTAGTAAAAGTAATCCTTCTTTTTATCGGCAAATACTAAAATTTTTAATTTTTTTACTTGTAGATAAAATAAGGCCTTGAGCATAATTTTAAAAAGTATAAAAGATATAAAATATCAAAATAACATTAATAATAATGTAAAAAAAATTATAGTTTTGTTTGCATTTACTTGTTAATAACAAAATTACTATTAGAACTAAGATTTAAAAAGAGAAAATAAAACTTAAATAAACTTTAAAACTTAAACTAAATTTAGTAGGAATTTACAAAATTCACACTTACTGCTTCACTGTCAGTTAACCGTACATTCCTCATACGATGTGAGAAATAAAACTGAGATAAAGAATGGATGATGTGGTTTGGAATATTAATAAAGCTTGTTTTGGAATTAAACTCTTTCAATGTATCTAAATCATCAGGAGTTAAATGGCACAAAACTTCCTGCTTAGATAAGTCTGGAACAAAAGTGAAATTATCTTTTAAATTTCAAAAATATTGCAATGAGTAATAAAGCATTACATTAAAATGTAATTAATTTAACAAAATAAACTTAGTAGAATTCCACAAGTCACAACTAATTTAAACCAAAACTTATTCAAATTACCAAAAAAAATTTATTTTGTCTAAAATTAATTAGTCTGATTATATGTCTAATATATTAATTATTAAAATCTGTTTGCTAATTTTTATATCCTTCAAACAAGAAAAATGAAATACATTAAAATATAATTTAAAAATTAAGAACAACTTTAATCTTAACTCAATAGCAACAGACCCCTTTGAAATCATAAGATTAAGAAAAAAATAACAGGTTATCTGAGATTATAATTTAAAAAAATGGGGGGCCAAAGGAATAAAAATTATTAACTAGCACTAAATTCTCTTATTTTGAAGCAACAAAAAGTAGTGTATTACTCCTTTTCTCATTAGAATAATACATTTTCTTTGGTATACAGTTTTAAAAAAATCTACTAAACTTAAAATAGTGCAATCAATTAAATACATTAAAATGTTATTAATAAAAATACAATACGGTAGAACCCTGCTAATTTGAACAAATTAAGGCCAATGCCAGTTGAAATTATTGAAGAAAAAAAAATTAAGAATTTTCCATACTGCTAATAAAAAGAAATTAAAGAATGTGAGGACTATAAACAAAAATAAGCAACTACTTATTCAGGAACAACAGAAAGAGTACACACCACTTTTTTTTTATTAGAATAATGTATTTCCTTTAGTATGCAGTTTAATAAAAACTGTTTGCCAAACTTTGCATTATCCTTAATTATTATCAAAAAAATTGAGGCCGAATTTAACTTATTTCATTTGATAGAGAAAAGCAGAATCCTTTTGCTTATTTAAATGTGTTCTAAAGCATGAGAATTTTTGCATCTTATCTAAAATTTTATTTAAAAGTTTGCGTAAGTTTGGTCAGTTCAATTAATATCAAGTCGACTAAGACTTGGTGTCATGACGTTTTCTTGTCTCTTGTATTACTTTGAAAGAAATAGATATTGTTATATAAATGCATCATATAAAAGAAGAGAAAAAAAAAACTAACTAAAAATAATCATTAAGTCGTTTTCTTTCTCTAAAAAATTCATTAATGGAAAGGTTAACATAGAGCGGTAATCATAGATGCTTCCTAGCTTATTACTAATAATCTTGAAAAGAAAAAGTTTAATTTAATTTTTTTGTTTGAAATGGCTAAATTGAGTAACTTAAATCATGATTTTAATCATAGTTATTTAAATAGATCATACTTTTATTTATTTATTTTTTGAAGACAAGTATATGCTTTAATTAATGTAACTTTCTAAAAATTCTAATTCTGAACAGGCTTTTTTTAATTTTAGATAATCGAGCTAGTCATTACTACCTAATAGTTTAGCAATAAAGTGAACTAACTCATTATTTCCTATTTTTAGTAGTTCATAATGGTATAGTTGGATTTAACACATATTTTAAAATTTTTATGAAGTAATCATTATAAAAATAAGCAGTTACCTATAAATATCTCGGATGGAAGTAAGTTCTTAGAAATTAGAGAAAAACCAAGACTTGCTCCTAATTTCAAAAATTGTAGTGTATGAACAATTTTTTCGCAGAATCTATACCAAAAGGTTGGCAACCATTTAGAACTTGTTGATATACCAGTAAGCTGTTTCAACATTATACATGAATGGTCACCCGTAAGTTGATTCTAAAAGGTAAAAAAATCATTCATCATAAATAAAATAATGTAAGTAATGCTTATGATAAACTCTTTTGAAATGTTATTATACTGAAAAATAAATTAGTTAACATGCAAGCAAAATCATTGCTGTAAAATATTTCACAGAAATTCTGATATTTTTTTTAAATAAAAAATCATCTTTTATATTACCCTAAAAATATTTATTTTAATAATTTAATACTAATAATTTATTGTAATGATAGTTTCCAAAATAGGTTCTTTTGCAATTAATAAGAATTGAAGCAATATAATTAAAAATACGGATTTAAGAAATAGATGATTGAACGCTTAAACCATATACAGTTAGAACCTTGATTATTTTTAGTAATTGAGAACAGAACATATTTGGATAATCGAAATAGTCTTATAATAAAGATAATATCTTTTTCTCAATCTATTTTCATCAATAAAATCTAAAAAATGAGGGTGTTTTATAATATAGCTACACAATATTTGAAGTCTTGGTGGGGTAGTAATTGTACACAGTATTTAAAGGAAATTTTATGATAATTTTTTAAATATATTTTTATCAAATAGATATAAAATCCGAAAACAGATATAAAATCTAAAACCAAACTGATTTCTACTATATAGAAAAAAAAGCTATCTAACACAAACAAATTTTAAAACTCAAATCATACCACAAGAAATATTCTAGTAAATAATAAAAAGCACAAATGCATATTAAGAAAGTACTAAATTTTTAATTAATATATTTCTTACCGATGCATATCAACTATTCTAAACAACAAAACTAACAAAAAATAAACAGAAAATTTTTCCTTTAAAAGACTAGTACTAATTATATACTTACAGTTGTGTAGTTGAGATAAACAGGACTGAAATCACTTTTCTTCCAAAATCTGTGGAGAAAGAATAAGATGAATTTACTCTCTTACATTGCAATATTTATTTGATCTTACCGGTTAAAAATATTAGGCGAAATTAAAACCAAATATTTGATTACATTGCTTTTCCACTGACTACCAATGAAGCTTTAACAAGTAACCTAAGAGAAATATAAGCTTTATATCTTATTAACCAACCTAGCATGGAGTAATAAGAAACTAATTAAAAATAAGGACCATATAATAATTTATTTCAGACAAAAATGTTTACCATCAATACCTATTGTATTTTACATTTTAAAATTATTGAAAAAATTTTTTAATCGTTTCATTAAAGAAATATAGTTAAAAATTTAAAAGGGGCTATTCATTAATTTACATTTGTAATAAGAATTTAATAAAGTTTTCTTAGTTTGCTTAATTCTTTACATTATAAATTCAGTATGATCAATAATATTAATCTTGCTAATTTTTTTGTTGAATATACTTTTAAAAATAACTTATAAAGATAACTTACTAACTTATAAATCACCCAGTAACTTTTTAAATTATAGTTTAACTAAAATATAATTTTGAATTAATTTTTTTTTACATAATTAAATAAAATAATAATTAATTTTAAAAATAGAATGAGTGACTCAATATGAAAGATATTTAAAATTGTGCATAAATTGTTATTATGATGGCTAATATAATTCAGAAAAGAGCCCGTTGTCAGATGTCAGATACTACTTATTTTATTATGATCATATAGTCTTTGAAAATGTTTTTGTATTTTGTTGATGAAAGAACTTTCAACAATAAGAAGAAAAAAATTTTATTAGTGCACATACCTATATTATGATATATATAATATATTTAAAGTTCTTAAAAATATTTAGGAGTGCTTAAAAAGTTCTTTTTTGTTGAAAGATTTGGCTACACACCCTGAGTTAATTGATTTGTTATCCTAGAACCATCTGAAAATCAAAACAAACGCTGATCCCTCCATACAATGACAGGAATTACTTAAATTATTTAATCTGTGCATAGGTATTACCAAGTTTGACAACGAAAAATGCTGAAATATACACATATAGGGGCTCCACCCATGACACATTACCTATTGCATACACTAAAGTGTAATGAATTCTGGTTTATTATCAGTACCTGCCTACAGTGGTACTCCTGTTATCTAATTCATTTCTTAAGTGACAATATAATAAATAAAATTTTAAGGAAGTCTTAATATGCAACTAGACAAAATATTCATAATCAGAAAATTTTTACTTTATATTTAGCGAGTAAAGAATTTAATACACCACAAATTAATACCACTTGTATACCAAAAAATCCTACTTTATGTAAGCATTTTTTAAGCGTATATTTAGAATCTTGGTCCTATGATTCCCTGGCAAATTAAAATGCATACTGCTAATAAAAAGNTTAATTTAATTTTTTTATTTGAAATGGCTAAATTGAGTAACTTAAATCATGATTTTAATCATAGTTATTTAAATAGATCATACTTTTATTTATTTATTTTTTGAAGACAAGTATATGCTTTAATTAATGTAACTTTCTAAAAATTCTAATTCTGAACAGGCTTTTTTTAATTTTAGATAATCAAACTAGTCATTACCTAATAGTTTAGCAATAAAGTGAACTAACTCATTATTTCCTATTTTTAGTAGTTCATAATGGTATAGTTGGATTTAACACATATTTTAAAATTTTTATGAAGTAATCATTATAAAAATAAGCAGTTACCTATAAATATCTCGGATGGAAGTAAGTTCTTAGAAATTAGAGAAAAACCAAGACTTGCTCCTAATTTCAAAAATTGTAGTGTATGAACAATTTTTTCGCAGAATCTATACCAAAAGGTTGGCAACCATTTAGAACTTGTTGATATACCATTAAGCTGCTTCAACATTATACATGAATGGTCACCCGTAAGTTGATTCTAAAAGGAAAAAATATCATTAATCATAAATAAAATAATATAAGTTATGATAAACTCTTCTGAAATGTTATGATACTGAAAAATAAATTAGTTAACATTCAAGCGAAATCATTGCTGTAAAATATTTCACAGAAATTCTGATATTTTTTTAAAATAAAAAGTCATCTTTTATATTACCCTAAAAATATTTATTTTAATAATTTAATACTAATAATTTATTGTAATAATAGTTTCCAAAAAAAAAGTTCTTTCAGCTCAAACATAATTAATATTGAAGCAATACAATTAAAAATACAGATTTAAGAAATAGATGATTATATGCTTAAATAATATACAGTTAGAACCTTGATTATTCTCAGTAATTGAGAACAGAGCAGATTTGGATAATCGAAATAGTCTTATAATAAAAGTAATATATTTTTCTCAATCTATTTTCATCAATAAAATCTGAAAAATGAGGGTTTTGAATAATATAGCTACACAATATTTAAAGTCTTGGTGCTGCAGTAATTGTATACAGTATTTAAAGGAAATTTTATGAAGATTTTTTTAATATATTTTTATCATATAGATATAAAAATGTTGTTTTTAAATTCACTAACGCTATTGACTCAGGTGGTAGTGCTCTGTTCTGAATAAATCATACGTATAAAGCAGCATCTAATTGTAAATCATTTGCTGATTTGATTAATTTATATTCTTTTAAAAGCTTGTAAGGCTTTCTCTAGATTTCATTTGCACAATATTACATTTTTTTTCCTTTTTACACAAATATAACAAAACATTTCTTCAAAAAGGGTAACCATAAAGTTGAAATACACTATACTACTAGTAATAATAAAGAGATAGAGGAAACAGTTAAAATTAAAACTTTCATAATATTTTTTTAGCAAAACCAAAGCAATCAATTTAACCAATTAGCAAATAATTATTTTTGTTACTTACATAAAATAATGAGTTATATATACTATATATATAGTTACAGTTTCATTAAAAAAGTTATGATTTTTTTATTTTTCATTACTGACTAAATAATGTAGCTTTATTTTCGCTAAGATTTTCAATCATCAATCTGTTTTGCTTAATTTTATTTATTTATTTTATTAAAAAAATGAAAGGAAGGAAAGAAAAACATAACAAAGAGAATGGAAGAAAGAACTAAAAATTAAGCTATTTCTTATTATTGTCATAAAAACAGATATAAAAACAAACTGATTTCTACCGTATAGAAATAAAGCTATCTAACACAAATTTAGAAACTCAAATCATACCACAAGAAATATTCTAGTTAAAAAAGCACATATACATATTAAGCAAGTACTAAATTTTTAATTTATTTATCTTACGAATGCGTATCAACTATTCTAAACAACAAAACTAACAAAAATAAACAGAACATTTTTCCTTCAAAAGACTAGGTAATTATGTACTTACAGGTGTGTAGTTAAGATAAACAGGACTGAAATCACTTTTCTTCCAAAATCTGTGGAGAAAGAATAAGATAAATTTACTCTCTTACATTGCAATATTTATTTGATCTTACCTGGTAAAAATATTAGGTGAATTTAAAACCAAATTTTTGATTACATTGTTTTTCCATTGACAACCAATGAAGCTTTAACAAGCAGCCATAGAGAAATATAAGCTTTATATCTTACTAACCAACCTAGCATGGACCATATAATAATTTATTTCAGACAAAAATGTTTACCATCAATACCCATTGTATCTACATTTTAAAATTACTGAAATTTTTCTTAATCGTTTCATTAAAGAAATATTTACAACTTTTAATAAAAATTTAAAAGGGAAGATTCATTAATTTACATTTGTAATATGAATTTAATAAGGTTTTCTTAGTTTGCTTAATTCTTTACATATCTTTATAAATTCAGTATGATCGATAATATTAATCTTGCTAATTTTTTTGTTAAATATACTTTTAAAAATAATTTGTATTTAAATCTAAAAATTACACCCAATAACTTTTTTAAATTATAGTTTAACTAATTAAAATTTTGAATAAATTTTTTTTACGTAATTAAATTAAATAATTAATTTTAAAAATAGAATGAGTAACTCAATATGAAAGACATTTAAAATTGTGCATAAATTGTTATTATGAAGGCTAATACAATCAAATAAAGAGCCCTTTGTCAGAGATGAACCTTGATAGGAAAAAAAATTTGTTTCTTCGATTCTGAAAAGCACAACATCAGATGAAAGTTGTTTTTGCTTCTTTGTTAAGAGGAATCATAAATCAACACCGATAGTGAAGGAGAAATTGAAGCTTATTTTTCTTTGAGTTCTGAGTAGGAGGGAGGGAATGTCGAACATCTAAGTAGACCATAGTAAACCATTCGGGGTGTAAGAACAATTATTCATCCATGATAAAATGCTACGCTTTCCGGAAGGGATGAGGTTTCAAATCGGAAACTTTTTAACGTCTATCAGGAGTCCAATGCAGATCTTTTTTGTCCAAGAGGGGAGAAAAAGATCAAATTCAGTTCTCTAGTAGTTATTCATCGCCTTCAGAATGTAGGCATAACATGCAGCATACACAAAAGGAAAGTCGATGATTTTTAAGACAAGTTCCACTGGGCGTAGGTATCATTTATATAAACAAAAAACTTGATGATTGAAGAATTTTTTTTTTTTTTTTTATGTTGAAGATGAATTATTAATTACCATGAGTTGCAGAAGAATTTGATTTGATAAATTTTCAACTGTCCATGCGAATGAGATATTTGTGATGTACCCTCTTCCGAAGTTGATTTATTTAATTTCAAATGAGAGATATTTCATATTTTTGATGTACCATACCCCCTTCCCAACATTCAATCCTGGCGACTTATAACGTCGTTGCCGAGTGGAAGGATTAAAACAGGTCTTAGGCCGGGAAGGAGGGTACAAAATTTATTTATTAATTATTAGTCAGAGCAGTCATGAGAGTGTGTAAAAGTGAACACGAAAAGTTGCGCTTCTCAGTTATATGTTAGGGAAACTCTTGCAAAGTAAAATCCGTATAATGTCTTAATTTAGGGAAAGAGGGAAATCTTAGTAGCTGCTATTGGTTTATGAAATAGATCGAGCGTTTCCCACAGAGAGCAAAGGGGAAAATGCCTGCTTTTAATTAAATGCATACTTGAGCCAAAAATAGATTTAAGAACAGGATGTGGCTTTTAAAAGTGTGAGAAAGTATTTCGTTTAGAATAATTAATTAGGATGAAGTTTTATAGCAAAGAAACTAACATAAAAAGATTAATTGAAGCTTTTTATGTTACATATATATATAT